GCCACCGATAGGGAGGACTGTGGTGGCTCTGCAGGCTCCTCGGGGTGGAAGCTCTCCTGCAGCTCCCCGATTGACCCCTCCCACTCTGGATGGCAGCCTTCAGCAAGTGCAGCCGGGCTGATGGCCGAGTGCTGTGATGTGCCCAGTGTGGGCATTCAGGGCACTCCAAGCCAGGACTGCTTTGCTGTCCCTCATCGAGTTATACAAGCGAGCGGGGAACCCCTGAGAACTGTCTGTCCGGGGTGGGGGTCGGGACCCTTTAAGCACAACCCTCGGCTAGCCTGAGACAGCAGCTCCACGCTCTAAGTCCTAACCTGATGCCCTGCCGGCACTGCTTCCGGCCATGCTTAACCCCGGTTCAGGGTCCACTCAATGTGGACATGCTAGTTCGAATTAGCAAAATGCTAATTCAAACTAGTTTTTAGGTCTAGATGCACTAGTTCGAATTAGCTTAGTTCGAATTAACTAATTCGAATTAAGTTAGTTTGAATTAGGGCCAGCCTTAACCTCGGTTCAGGGTCCACTCAATGTGGACATGCTAGTTCGAATTAGCAAAATGCTAATTCAAACTAGTTTTTAGGTCTAGATGCACTAGTTCGAATTAGCTTAGTTCGAATTAACTAATTCGAATTAAGTTAGTTTGAATTAGTGCTGTAGTGTAGACATACCCTTACTTACTCCTTTACCATCTGTACTATTTTAGAGTTAATTGATCCCACTCGGCTTCTGGTTTCCCACAGGGAAGGTCAGGAAGCCTAAGTCACAGAAGAAGTATCTAAAGATCTAAAGACAGAGATAATTTGAATAATAAATCATCCATTTCCAGTAAGAGAGGAAGAGGAAATTGTACAAAATATCTCTCGCTTTGAAGAAAGGTCAAAAGAAACAATGGCTGAAATCCTGTTCATGTTGTTCACATGAATATATTTCTGGAAGTTCATGGAGCTGCTGAAATAAGTTAGAAGAGAAGGATTTTGCCCTAAATGCAAATACTTTGGCAAAATGACAATACAAAGTTAAAAGAATAACCATCCTCAAATATCTGTGAAGTTGAAACAGCGGTGGCTGAGAGAAAATGTAAATGGTGCTCCACGCTATATAATCAAGAGGAACAAAAACAATTGTAAAATAACTTTTTTTAGCTGTATACATCTCCCCAGTGATGATGGCCACTAGACTGTGGAACAGTCTCACCCAGGAAGGCAGCGGCAAACACATTTTCGTGTAATTCATTTAAAACTAGACTGAACAAAGCATTCAAATATATGTGACTGCTGTGTTGGGAATGGGATGGACTGTATAGCCCAACAGGCATCTTTCACTGTAATTTAAATGGTGCACTAGAGTCCCTTGTCAACATTCTTTCGGAGATGTATGTATCTCATCCATCTTGCTGTTTTAGCTGGTTTGGGAATGCATTGTGCAAGAAGGCATTATGAGGCAGCCCAGCAGTATCCAGGGGAATTGCTGTGGGCTACTGAATAAGTTTATTTTTTTCTCTCAATAATTCTACATTTTAGGTATATTTTAGCCATGGAGACTTTTGTGATTATCATTATTTGGGCCCTCACACCCATTCATCCATTGTTTCCTTGTTGTTTTTCTTATTCCTGAGTTATTTTCTAACACTTCTGTTGAAATTCCAAGACCATTTTTATGATTGCTTAGTCACATTTTTGTTTTGGTTATCTGAAGGTTTTTTTTGAAAGGCCTCTTGAACATAATTATTGGGGACAAAATATTTCAGTGTCCACAATTGTCGATGCTTCATAAATACACTTAAAAATGAGAAACTGCAGATGCCCAGATGCTGGGCATCTTGAGGTAGGCATTCAGTGTCACTCCAAAGATTAGTGAAATTTCTTCTGACAATTGTGGTTTTGTTCTAGTTATTAGGACCTGACTATTGGTTGGCAATGAACTCTCATGATTTTTTAAATAAAGCAATATAACAAAAATGCTTTCTGTAGAATTGAACTTTTAAAATAAATTCTATCTGTGGGGAAAAACTTAAAAGGACGTACGTATATGCACATTAAAATTATTAGTCCTGGTCCTTCTCCCACTGAAGGCTGTAGGGAATTTTGCCATTTACCTCATACGAAGAAAAACTGAGTCCTCAGTTTTAGCATCTGTCATTTAGCTTATTGGTTATTTACTTAGACACTGTCATTTTCATCACTGCTTGAAGCTGCTTTGTGATGATTATTGGTTCTCAAACCATCTTTTCAGTGAATCTGGCACAAATAAGATCTGGCACGATTTCTTTAATGTACTACTATTTGATTAGTCTTACCATATAAATGATCTTGCAAAATAAATCTTACCCTTCCATTGTCTCTGAGTTCATTATTACAGTGTAATAAATTATGCATGATCATGTTTCCGTATATATTCTGTTTTCTAATATTTTTTCTTTGGTACAAATGAAAACAGCAGAGACAGAAACCTCCATTTACACTCTAGAAAAATAACTTCATAAAACCTCCGTGGATGAAGGCATAATGACATTTCTGCTGATGTGCTCCATTACAAGGTGGTCCAGAGCCAGAGTAGGAATATGCTTTCCATTTATTAGCCCCTCTACAGTTGGGGAAACCGATTTCTACAAAACCATCCACCATTCCATGCACAAATCGCAGTCTTCTGGAGCCGGGTGAGATTAGCGGCTGTTAATGCAGTTTCAATGGTCAACTTTCCTTTTCCAAACTGATTCACGACTCACTGGTTGAAGTCAGGAGTCCACAATGCGATTGTCAAATGCTTCTCCATCAACAGAAGCGTTTTGGTGCCCAGACTTGGCAAAACTGGGACAAGCTCCTCACAAATTTCCTGGAAAGTGGCTTCTACATCTAATAGTTCTGCAGCCATAGTTCATCATCCCAGACTAGAATAATGATATGATCCCACCACTCCGTGCTTGTTTCATGAGCACAAAAGCAATAGTCGTCTGTGTGAAACTGATCTTTGAAAGCCAAAAAATAATCTTACGTTGCTTCTATCCATGGCACACAGCAGGCTAGTCAACTGAGGCCAGGTCTACAGTACAGGGTGATTGAGGTCATCATTAGGGGCTGTCATGATTATGAGGATTAGCCAGCAGCCTGGGGATTAGGGGGTTAACTACACCTAGCCAGGTGGAGTGACCAGTAGGAATGTAGGTGGGACTTTCAAACTGAGACAAAGGAATTTGGGTTTTTTCCTTTCTCCCTTTTGTTTCTCTGGGTGTGTTCTCTGTAGCTACAGAGAGGGACAAGCATCTCTCTCTCTCTCTCTCTCTCTCTCTCTCCAAGACACAATTCCTCATTTTCTGTAAGTAGGGTAAAGTTTAGTTAGTTTCGTTAGGCTTTATTGTTTTAAGGGTTGGGTATGGGATCTGAGATCTGGCACTGTTTAAAATATGTTTTGGCTTTTCTTTGTAACTAAGTTCTAGGCCCATGGAGTTTCTCTATGAGTATATTTTATTACCTTCCTATGTAGTCATTATGCTTGCAACAGAAATATTGTTGTAATAATAAAAGTTCTTTCTTTTCTTTTTATTAACCTGGCAGTGATTAATTGTGTGCCCTGATTTTTATTTTAGGGGTGAGATTTCCCAAATGATCTTTCCCCTGATTTCTTTATCAACATTTGAGTGGGGGCCAGCAACTACAGGAGGTGCCTGTCAGCTTGGGTTGGCTGGGGAGAGTGCTGCGGGCCCAGATTTAGCTCTGGGGGCAGCTGAAGCCCGGAAGGGAAGGGGGAGGTCTCTGATCTTCTCCCAGAGGAGTCTGTGTGTTTTCCTAAAGGGGGGGTTGTGTGAAGACCTGCCTGTTCAGGGGATTGAGGGATCACAGGAGGAGTTGATGGTGGCTCAGCAGGGTGAGGCTTCTGTTGGGCCAGGGGAAGATGAGCTTTCGCTTGCAGAAAGTCATAAGGAAGAGGATCCTTATGGTGAGGTTGGCCAGCAGGTTGCTGTGCCTGAAGGGGGTAAAAGTGACTTGGGGATAGAAGGATCCTGTGAGGAGCAAAGGAATTCAATAGCTATTGTGAGCAGGGGAGCAACATCCAGGCAGGCCTATGTCTGTGTGGGAGGGAGTTCACAACCTAAACCCACAGGGCATGGGGGAGGGGCAAGACTTGTGGTTGCCCAGGAAGGTTGCAACTTTTTAAATCTAAGAAGCCAGAACTGTCAATGTACACTTGGGGTGGATTTGTTCCTACTGCTTATGTTAACTTGCATAACCACTGAACTGCTGTTACTAAGACTGGTAACAATGTCCATTGTGCATGATTTTGTACCATAACCCTGGAAACTGTTAAGAGATGTACCCAATGACACACTGTATGTTCAAAAGCTTTGTGACACTGGTATTTCACTGTTAATACTTGTAATTAGTATTGGAGCTTCTCACCTGAGAAGGGGAATCCCAAAATTGGTGTGCTATGTAAAAAGGGAAACTGAGGCACGACTACATTTTCTTTTCATAGCTAAGTGCCAAGAGGCCTACGTTATGGGGAACAAGGAGACCTACATTGTACTGGTGTTAATTGGATTTCAGACCATTGCCAAAGTGGGCATGGGTAAATTTAATATTTTCACTAATGGGTGTTGGGTCCAAATGCTGAGCAAAGGGGCCCATGTAAGGTGTCGAATGAAAGCTTCTCCTCTGCTGATGCTATATATGATACTTGTGTACATGTATGGTGTTGTATATGAAGTTATGGAATGGACTCTGTTCTTGGATGTTAAAAATTTTTCCGTCTGGAAGGAAGCAATGGAAATGGACTGCTTGCCTGTGACCAGCTCCAGTTGGAAGATGCAAGAAACAGCAAAGGGCCCTTTGGGGCTGACACTAAAGACTGCTAAGCTAGAAGTTGTACTATCTTTGCTAACCGCCTGCATCAAGCACTCGGTGACTGATGTATGACAAGTGTTCTCATTAACAATCTTACTCTCAACATTTTATTTCTTGTATTAATATCTCTTTAGAGTTTAGATTCTAAAGGATTGGCCCAGCGTGATCTTGTGGGTAAGATCTAAAGTGAAAATTGGCCTGGAACTGTGGCTGAGTCCTTTGGACCAGGAGGATCGGTTTGGAGTTGGTGAGTGTGGGTTTTATAACCTCTCACCTGTGTGTGAGGCCTAAGTCTGGTGATGGCACAGGGAAGCTGGAGTGTCTAAGGGGTTTTGCTGATGAGGCTTCCGGCTGACCGGGGAGGCAGCTGAAGTGCTCGGTGTAATTTGAGGGGTGCCTGGGGAAGGCTGTCCAGCACCGTCTGTGATTTGGGGGGCATGTCATGATTATGAGGGTTAGCCAGCAGCCTGGGGATTAAGGGGTTAACTACACCTAGCCAGGTGGAGTGACCAGTAGGAATGTAGGTGGGACTTTCAAACTGGGACAAAGGAATTTGGGTTTTTTCCTTTCTCCCTTTTGTCTCTCTGGGTGTGTTCTCTGCAGCTACAGAGAGGGACAAGCATGTCTCTCTCTCTCTCCAAGGCACCATTCCTCATTTTCTGTAAGTAGGGTAAAGTTTAGGTAGTTTCGTTAGGCTTTATTGTTTTAAGGGTTGGGTATAGGATCTGAGATCTGGCACTGTTTAAAAGATGTTTTGGCTTTTCTTTGTAACTAAGTTCTAGGCCCATGGAGTTTCTCCATGAGTATATTTTGTTACCTTCCTATCTAGTCATTTTGCTTGCAACAGGAATATTGTTGTAATAATAAAAGTTCTTTCTTTTCTTTTTATTAACCTGTCAGTGATTAATTGTGTGCCCTGATTTTTATTTTAGGGGTGAGATTTCCCAAATGATCTTTCCCCTGATTTCTTTATCAACAGTTGGGTGGTGACAGTGGAAGTTTTATTCCCAAGATCTAGGTTTTTAAGATTTTTGGGGAAGTTTTATACCAAAGCCTGGTAGATAAGGCTTTGGGGTACACTTGCTGGCCCCCACTTCTGCATTTATCATGCTAGAGTGGGGAAGGAGCCATGACAGGGGCCCTCTGGGATGACTAGACAGGCAGAAACCATAAGGACATGTCTACATTGCAGCCATAACCATGAGCTGACTATTATGCTGGCTGGGCATCAAACCTTCCCACTACAGTGGGAATCAGTGTTAGATAATGGAGCTCTAACAATACGTCTTTAAAAAGTCCAATGAAAAATTAAATCTAAACATTCCCCAGTGGGACTTAATCCTGACCATATCCATGTTGTAGGATGACAGGCATACTGAAGTATAGTGCTTCTGTTCACAAAGCATGTGAATAGATGGGAATGCCTAGTAACAACAGAAAGCTATTTCAAATGTGTAACATACTGTGAGGTTCTTTGAGGGGTGCAGAAAACATACTGTGACCATTTGTGATCAGCTCATAAAAGAGGTTACTGAAAAGATATTCACCAAATAAATGTGAATAACAATTTCCAGGAAGATGATATCTACTCACGTGGTTACTCTATGAGCAAAAAGAGGAGGGTAAACCAGGCAACTTGTTTATTGAGCAAATATTTCACTTCTCTAATGCCGAAACAGTGCTGAAGAGATTACTAGAGCGATGTTTGAGTAAATTGTGTATAGTACAGATCCAAGCTGTATGATCCTTACCCCCAAAGTCACTTCGGTGCCGTTTGAAAATATTTTCTGTGATTTAGACAAGGTTGAATGTCTGCAGGATCAGAGCCTAAGCTACTGATTATCCTGGATGTCTTTGGGTACCACTTATGTCTCTATATCTCTGTTACCTCTGGGGTTCTGTGTGTGTTCCAGGTGCCAAAGCTCAGGCTCCAGACCAAGCTTAGGTGTCTATACCACAGTTATATGGCCCAAGCCCTGAATCCGCTGATGTGGGCCAGCCAGGGTGCTTTTTTGCAATGTAGACATGTCCATAGTGTTGTCATGTATTTGTGACTTGTACCCAAGGCAAGTTCAGAAAGTGCTGTCAAACCTTGTAGCTTCAGGGAACACACAAGTCATTGGGGCTTCTTTCTACCAGTCTGAGGCTGAAATGAAGGCGGGATATTTTGCACTTGGCGCTTGGAGGAAGGTACAATCTGTTTTCTGTGGTAAATGAGAGTTCTGTGGCGATAACCTGCTCATGTGGAGGAAATAACTTTGGATACGTTGTCAGCTGGTTCCTACCCTGTGGATCTCAATTTTCTAGCTGTGATTCATTTGTTTGAGGTAGGTTGGTGGAGCAGGGGTACACACGCTGAATTCTGAGCTGTGCAAAAGGAGCCCAAGCTCAATGGCTCTCATATTTGTTTGAATTGGCCCTGCTGCTCCTCTCTTATTTCTCAGTATCTGGTTTCTATATGAAACGGGTCACTTTTCCCATTTAATCTGATAGCTTTGGTATCCATTTTTTTTTTTCAAAGAAAACCAGTGGACTCAGCATTCCCCTCTTCCTTTGGAAGACAGAGTGACTTGATTGTGGTACTCTGGAGTTCAGTCAGGCTTTGGGATCAAGGTAAGAAACTTTGCCAATCTTTGCTTGTAAACCTGACATAGTATAGTATTGCATCATAGTAGGTAGGTTCTGCAGAGAGTCTGGCAGTGTTGTGTGTCTGTGCTGACTGAGCATCCTGTTCTGTGCTTCATTTGGAATGAAAAGGGTGCTGGGGGTTGAAGCAATTTTTTTTACTTTCGTAACTGATGTGTCAAGCCCAGAAGTGACATCCTGTTGGGCAGTCTGCAGAATGGCAGGCTCAGTAATAAAGAATGGAAGGAAGTAGAGTAGGGACTTCTTAAACCTCCTCCCTCAACACAAAGAGCAGAGATGCACAGGTTGTAGATCTCTCTCTTAAGCACAAAAATATCACAGCTATTAAGCCCCAGTGCCTTCCCCACCCTCAGCAAAGCAAACAACCCACATTAAATGTCCATGTGTAAATTCCCACTCTTCCTCTCTCAACCAAAATCCCTTTCCTGTTCTTCCTCTCACCTGTATCCCCAGCCAACAGAGTTTATATACTGCCCCCAACAGATAATGAAAGGTTAAGTTCTTGAAGAGTTGGCCTGCTGCTTACCTAGCATGAGTACATTTAATAATGACTTTTAAATTTTATACTTGCTCTATTTTTCTGTTACATTTCTCTTTTGTAACACTTTCATCTTCAATAATGTTCACATTTGAATGCTAACCTAATATTGCTAAGATAAATGGTAATAATTATTCCTTAATATTTAGAACAATATTTTATAATGTTTTTTGCATTTTTCTGAGTTAAAATATCTCAGTACCATAACTTGTTTTTATTGAATTAGACATAGATATTTGTCTAAGGCTAAGCCTATTGGAGACCATAATGTTTTACTCTTTTGTTACTGTTCTAATACATTTGTACTTTAAAACAGTTGAACATTTTTTACAGCATTAGGCAGTATTTGAATCAGCAATGTTTCAGAATTAGGCAGTGTTTGACCAGTCAACTAATCAGTTTATTTTTGGACTGGTCAATACAATCCTTTGTGCAACGTGTTGGCTAAAAATCTGTTTATACAGGGGTGGAGAAAAATTGTTTGAATCTTACTCTAAAACATTTAGAAAGTAAAGAATCTTAGAACATGCCACTGGTTTTTAAGGGGCTAGATGGTAGTGAATCTCCCTCTGTAATTGGTGATCAGTTCCTCACATGAGAAATCCCATTGACTTCAGTGGTCCAACTTATATGTTCAATAGTGCCCTAAAACATAGCCCAAAGTTATTAGGGTTAACAAATTTCTAATTTCAGAACATTAGGTACAACCAAATAACAGGAGAAACAGAAATATAAAGGTTGAAACGTCAGGATTTTATTTTCTATATTTGATACCTATGAAAATCTGTTATAACCTCCAAAAGCACTTGAATGGAAAACTCCCAATAGCAGACACTGTAATACCCAACATATCAGGGAAAGGGAATCTGAAACACCATTGTGTTTGTAAGCAATTAGAGTAATGGGATCTGCATGAAATTATTGTATAGAGGGTGCACAATTGGTAGAAAAATCATGCTCCAAGATTTAATAATAGTGTCAGTTTGGAGGGATGTACCTAACGAAGTCCTGCAGAAGTCAGTCTTGGGTCCAGCACTGTTCAGTATCTTCATTAATGACTTGGATAATGGAGTGGAGAGTATGCTTATAAAATTTGTGGATGACATCAAGCTGGGAAGGCTTGCTAGCAGTTTGGAGGACAGGATTAGAATTCAACTAATTCTCCAATTTATCAACAAAATGAAATTCAGTACAAACAAGGGCAAAGTACTACACTCCAGAAGAAAATAAATCTGTGAATAAATATGAAATGTGGGATGTAATACTGATGAAAAGGATCTTGGGATTATATTGGGTCACAAATTGAATATGAACCAACAATGTGATGCAGTTGCGAAAAAGACTAGTATCCTTCAGGGTGTATTAACAGGAATGTCGGATGTAAGGCCATAGGACATAATTGCTCTGTTTGTTATTGGGGAGTGCTGTGTCCAGTTTTGGCACTATGCTTTTAAAAAAGATCTGGACAAATTGGAGAGAGTCTAGAAAAAAGCAACAAAATGATAAAAAAGAAGAAAAAAGAACCTCTTTTGGAGCAATGGCATGTTTATGTTCGGCTTTCTACAGTGCTACCATAAATGCAATCTCCCGCTACATAACGAAAAGTATCCAGGCTTTTTTCTCCTCTGTATTGGCCACAACAAAATGTAAATGAAATAAAGCTGGAGCAAGAAACTACCCAGCATGATTCTGATGAGAAGGAAAACATATTTTTGCCTATTGCAGTATATTAGAGAGAGTTGAGAAAACAGATTACAGTGCTAGTGAAAAAAACGAGCTGATTAACCTTAAATGCAGGGCAGAGAGAAACCATTTTGGAGAAAATAGATTTGTGCGCACTGAAAATATCAGATGTTCTCATGGTAGCAATCCTGCACAGGCACTGCTTGACAAGGGTAGCTGGGGCACCAATTGCAACAGTAGCTATATTGCAAACACATTCCCTGTTTTTTGACCAGGTTCATTCAATATGTTGTTGCCTGAGCCTAAACTGGTTGGTTAGCTTTTATGAATATCCTTGTTTTCTACCCACATCCCTGTTGAATAAGCAGGCATGTAGTGTCGTGGACCCTCTGATGATAATAACCCTTTGCTGTCCAGTAAAAATGGAGGGAATGGGTTGGGGGACATTGCATGATTTGTGTTTCCCTGCAAATAAGACTGATGTTATAAACTTGAAAAGTATTTGCAAACCTAAAATGTACCATGGCATTTTACAGTTCTATCCTTTTAGTCAAGGACCTGTTGTTCATCACACAGTTAATAAATAAAATGCCAAGTGAACTGTAAACCAGAGCTGTAATTGAAAGTGGCAGTAATCCCCCCAACACTTCTTTCATACCCTCTCACCAAAAATTAAAAAAAAGGTACTCGGCCAGATACGAAAATCTGACAAATTTTTCACAGTAGTCTTCTCTGATTTTCTGTCAGTGACAGTGGGAAATGGAAGCACAGCATAACCACTGAATTTGAGTACTCCTATATGTATCCTAGTTACTTAGCTCAGTAGATAATTTCCTTATTTGCTGAGACAATGAAGGTCAGGTTTATACTTTTTAGAGCTCTTGTTAGCGAGTTCTCTGAGCTACCATTTTTGGAGGAGATCCTCCTCCTCCAGCTCTTTTATGCAGGGGAAAGTGGCCCTAAAAGTTCTATATCCAGCCGGAAGATATGTCATTGGAGACACTCTGTAAGACAGCCATCACATTGCCTTCTGTGGACACCCTCACAAACCTTGATGAAAGGGGCTTCCTGTGGGCATGGATGGGAAGGGTGTCTGAGAGGCAAAGCTATAGTGCCCAGCTCTGCAGAGATTCTGGACAGCACCAGGAGAGTGCTGTAACTTTTTAGAGAAAGTGCTTAGAGAGAGATGTGTTGTGTCTTTGCATATATTTCATGTGTTTGTGGTGCAGCGATCTATTGACATCCATTTCTGCCTTTTCTGCAAAGGTAGGAACATGATTACCAAACCAGGAAGACAGATTAGGTAGACGTTTCATGTGATTTAACATCATTATCTAAAATGTTCTGGAAATATCAGAAAACATCCTGATTGGATGAGGGCCTAAATCAGGAGTGGGGAACCTCAGGCCTGGGGGCTGGATGTGGCCCCCTTCTTGCCTGGATGCAACCCCTGAGGCTCAGGGGCCCCTCTTAGCATTGGGTAGCCTGTGCTGGCATTCCAGCTCCCCTGCTGCTCAATCACTGGGTTGGAAGCACAAAATCTACTAGACTGGTCCCCCCTAAGCTCTGGTATGCAAGGGGAATGCAGGGAGTGTCTTTCTCTTCAGTTGGGGGCTAATGTCAGTGAGGGCTTTTTTGTTTTGGATTCTCATTGTGCGCAGCCCCTGACTGATTTTTCTGTGCATCAGCAGCCCTTGACTGGAATGAGGTTCTCCACCCCTGGCCTAAATTGATTCAGGGAAGAGCTGGGCCAAGACTTTCAAAAATAGAAGCATAAGTTATACTCCTAAATCTATATTTCAATACTTAAGTGACCTGATTTTTTTTAAGGGGGATGGGAAGGAAATAAAAACTGACCACCCACAGATTGCACTGAATTGAGAACAGTACATTTTATAATTTAGAGGAATTGCCTACAACTTAATCTTTTCCATCCATTTGTGAATTTTTTCTATCCATGTGCAGAATAAGTATTTTTATGTGTACCAAGGCATGTGTGAATATGCATCACCAATAGAGAAACAAAATCTAGCCGTGGGTGCTCTGCTAATCAACTGGGGGGCATTTGAATTTCTCCTGAACACACAGCTTACAGCGAATATGGTAGGTGATCCCTGCAGTTAAGGCTGCCAGACTCTCCCCAGTCTTCTTTTCAGTTGCTTACAATCATTTTATCTAAAATTTTCCAGTCTAGGGCTTCAGTTTCATGTTTAATTTTTTGGGGGAGACAGGTTCAACTAAAAGTGTGTTAGCTATGTCTGAGAACAAAATTAGGAACAAATATGTTGTTTTGCCTATGCTTACAATTGTATTTTTGAGAAACTCTGACTCCTCGGTGCTGAAACTGAGATGTGACACTGAATGAAGAGGGATACAATGACCATGATCATATAATTAAAGGCTGTATCAGAATGCCTACCCATGAGGGGGCTCAATTAAGTTAGCCCAGGCAATCTGAATTCTAGCATTTCCTAACTTTGGAGTGCTTGATTTTTGCTACCTTGGGATTCTTTGAATGTAGGTTTTGTTTTTTGTTTTTTTGTTACGGTATGCAATCTATTTGAATCTTGCTGTGATTGCTTTGGAATGTGAGTATGTAACTTTGGAGGAAGTTGTGTAGTCACAATATGCAAATATATTTTTTATTCTGGTGAAAATTTAAATTCCAAATAAAGGTACCGTTGAGACTTTTACCTTTTGTTGACTAGATTATGATGTTAAGAGTTATTGATAAAATCTCCATCTC